CACTTCTCCATGGCTCACTTCCCCTTGTGATTCTCAGTGAATTTTATTTTGTGAAGCAGCTTCTCATTATGAGGTGACATGGAGTGTGCTCCGCTCTCTTCTGCTCCCATCTAACATGCACAATTATTTTGACTGGTGTTCTGAGCTGTACTTCCCTGCAGCTTTTGTGGCTTTGCTGTTACCACATAACCAAATATGCAATACAATCATAATGAGATGTGCATTTTCATTCTTTATAGTGCTTGTTCCCTTGGGACAAACTTGCTTTGCTTCCCTTTTTCTCATTGCGTACAGAGCTCCACACCCTGAGTGTTCAACCGAAAATAAATACATACAGTAAACACAATAGGACGGCCAAACACCTACATGCACAGTTAATCTGCTACCACCTGCGTAACGCCAATATAAGGCTGCAAACGTGTGGGCTTTAATGCCCACATGCCACACATCTGTGTCCCTGAGCAGCCGATATTTCTGTGCATTCTGTTTCAGATGCCGTTGACATACCTCCCTAGACCTAGTCTGTCCGGACAGTATGTTCACCTGCTGACTTGGCACCATCTACAGGCAGCTTAACTCTTCAATAAGACACAGACGTTGAATTCAACACTCTTTTACTTCAGACAGTTGGAGTACAGAAGATAAATAATAAGGGATCCTCCTGCGCTCATGGGAATAATTGACAAAATACAGCTGCTGTCACTTAGCTGATACCAATAAGTGCAAAATAAAATTAAAAATTAGTGAAGCGCTTGTATCACATGAATACAATCATGTATCTCCATATAGTGTAATTATAAATCAAAGTGACCACTATATATAATAAATGTGTGTTGACTCCCTCTAGTGAAAAGAAAAAATAGTGTCAACCAAAATAACTAAATAACACACATTAGGAAACTAAATATATAGTGCATAAATCAAATATAATGAACAGAATATATATATACGTGAAAACAGAATATTGGCCACATACAATGGTGTCTAAATTATACATAAATGATATATGCCATAGGTGAACAAGACAATATCAAAGGTGAAAAAAAAAATATTCCATGCATGTGACTGTGCTTTAAGCTGGAACACACACGTGATCTCCACTTCTAAGTGCAAGTACTCTCCTTCAAATGGCAGCAATGCCTGCTCACCTCCCTTCCTCGACCCACACAGGGCCTCAAAGCAGTTACCACCTCAGTGGTGTATTCCTCTGGCAGACTCCTTATTCCTCCTCCTCTCTTATGCAACTCATAAAAAGACAAGAAAGCCTTCCATAGTGTAGTAAATTTAATAGGCAAAGTTAAAAATTACAAAGTTTTCCACTCACATGCTCCTTTCCATAAAAAAAGCGTTTTTCCCAGCCTGTGGGTAGATATGCATGCACCTGGGGGAATCCAATATGGCCACTGTGTCCGGACATACGTCACAGGAAGTAGACAAACCGACGCGTAGCGTCACGTGCGTCGTGACTTCATCAGGGTTGAGTACAGAAGATGTTTTCCAGCCTTTTGAAGTGTAAGAAGACAATAACTTATCTAAGCCCTGTCTCTATGAATAACGAACACTGACTGAGGGAACATAGAAGAAGTGGGAAGGTTTAGCTAAGGCTAAGCTAAATAGCACTAGACAGGAGAGGAGGACAGAGGAAGATACCACAATCACATTAATAAACAAGTTGTACTGTCCATATACCCCCATGAGATGTCAGCATACTACAATAGCAACGTAATGCAGTACTGTACAACACAGAAAAAATACACAAAAGTGGACAGAACACTGTGCTGAGAGAGTGCAGTGAAGTGATAAACAGATTAAAATATATTTCTGATATTTATATAACTCTGCCATACAGCCCTGTTGGGCAGGACAGGAGATCTGAATTTTCTCTGCTGTAGGTCTTGTTCCTCCACCGGCCTGTAATTGGACAGTGAAAAGAGAAGAAGCAGACTCTGTTGGTCAATTCTCTCCTACCATTGGCAAGTCCTTTGTTAGCACATGACCACTGCAACCCAACTGATTGGTCATCTGTGCTGCTTCTACCTCTTCAAGTCTATGCTCCACTGTAAAGGATCTAAAGGAGAACAGTTCAGGTGCTAACACTTTGTGCATAAAAAGAAAATACATTTAGGGATGCAGTAATCATTACAGAGCTTTATTAATTTATTAATTTAGCATTCTTCTGCCTTCTCCTGTTTACCTGACCTCCTGTTGCTGAACCTGGCCTGTGACCCGTTTATCCTTTTGCCTGCTGATCTGTACCGTCTGCCTCCGCTGTTACCGACCTGGCCTGTTGACTACGTTACACACTATCTCTTCACATCTGGCTCTCACCTGCTACCTACCACTGGTAAACCACCTCTACCACAGCTGGTTGTACTCGGGGGATGCGACCTGGTCTCAGGCTGCTTCAAGTCCATCCCCACCATCAGGGGCTCTGGTGAAATAGAAGACTGGGGCTTAGACTCTGCGCCCTGGGGAATTCCGGCCTGTGGGTCGCTAGAGGCTACTGCCATTCGGTCCGTGACATATATCTGCCTGGAGTTTTGTTTTAATACTTCTGGGTAAATTGTAATTCGTTTTTTAACTGTTGTTTTATATCTATTTTTTTCTTCACTATATTTGTATTGTGTACAGTATATCCAATCCTTGTTTAACAAACTAATATTTAATGCAGCATGCACCCATCAGAAACTAGGCTCATAGCACTTCAGGCCTTCTAAAGAAAGTGGAGACAGACTGTTGTTTTTTTTCTTATACAAAGCCATACAGAATGAAGGTCTGGAGTCACCACTTTTATTTATTAACTTATGTGTGTACATTTCCGTTTGAGTTATTGAACTATGTAGGCATTTTTTTGAAGTGGCAACAAGGAGAAACTGAAAAATACATGAAAAATAGCCTCAGCAATAAAGGCACTATTTTTGTATTGTATTTTTGTTTGGAGGAGCAAGTCCATGTGGTATATGTAGTATCCAGAGAACCTGTACCTGGTACTGCAGAGTGTTTGGGAACTACAAGTCCCAGGAAATCCAGGGATTTGCAAGAAAGAAAAAGGCAGGGAGTTCCTGGGCTTGAGGGTAGTCATTTGGAGGACAATGTGGAGTTAACTATGCAGTAGGACGTCTACTGGACAATTCATGGCTGTGTGTTGGAGACATGGGGAAGCTCAGTCACTGACATCTATAGATCTGTGGGAACATCATCGCTTTATTCACTGCTGCCACCATGTCTGTGGGGAGAATGTAATCACTGAGTCATGTCGTAACTGAAGCCGTTGAGCCTGGATGAAGAGCTGGAAGAGGCGACTCATCAACTCATAAGGTGGTGAGAGGCTGGTGGCCACAACCTTCTGCCCCTATTTAAAGGAACAGTATCACCTGTTTGGGACATCACTAGAGCACCTATGCTTGGTTTTGTGGGACTCAGGTTTGAGAAATTCAACATTGCATTTGGGCCCCAAAATACACCAATGTATTGACCAGTGGGAGAGGGTTGGACAGACACTATGAATCTCTGCTTCTTGCATCAATTTTAGTTAGGCCTGCCTTCGTATTGGGCTCAGAGGCTCAGATATTGGTTTGCTGGTATTTTCAGAGTTACACATTACTTTGAAACTGTTCTTGTAAACTTTTTAGGAGTGCACTACTGCTTTTCCATTCCTTTGGTTATTGTTTTACTGTGTGTTGCAACAATAAATATTTTCCCTTCAGCCTTGGTATATCAGACAGTGCAGTGCTGCCTAGGGAGTTGTTGGCACTGGGAATAGGGGACATGAGAAACAGCAACTCCTTCGGGAGTAAGCGCTATGTTAGTTGAGTTCATGAAGGCATCATCTAGTAGCTGGACAAGCTATATATATACTTTCTCATTCAAATGAAAATCTACAGGTGTAAGGCCAATATTAGACTTGGATGGTGAGTTAGGTGGCTTGGATTAGGTCAGGTCAAAGGTCAGGTCAAAAAGATATTAGCACTTTTGAAGTGTACTTCTCCTTTAAGACACAACAGAACCCTAGGCAAGATAGCAGCTTTGACTGATCAGTGCATTGATCGATAAGGATGGCAACAGGCAGAGAAAAGCTGCCGCACCTGCATTGTCTTTACTTGCATAGCTTGCCCCATCCGACGCCAACTGTCTATATCCTCCTTTTTAAAGTGAAAGGCAGTTTCACAGCTTTAACCAATTGCACTACCACTGGTTTACTGCAGGAGCAAAATAGGTAAGTTTGGCCCTTTGGACATCTACTGGGCCGCAGGTGATCCAACTCTGGCTGAACTGGATTTTTTCCTGCAACTGCTGCTTCAGTCTAAAGGGGGTGTTTGCAGTGTGCCCCCCCAGCCAAGTTCTACCTGTAGGCACGGGAGTGTACATTCACCCAATGTGATCAGGCATGCTTGTGCTTTCATCTTTTATCACAGTGATTGTTCTGTGCCGGTGTTGATAAAGTCCGTAGGAAGCTTTAGTCTGATTTCCGCTGTGCATTATAGAAAGCTTTATATAACGTATTATACATTTTAATGGTTTTTTTTTTCCTTTCAATCATTTTTATTTATTTAAAGATATGAAAAGAAACAAAGTCATTAGGGGAAGGTAATGCGTAGGTGGAATGAAATTCAAGTGTATGTAGGCAAACCGCTAAATACGCAGCTAAAGTACATAATTGTGAGCCTTCTCACCTACCAAAAATGTGTAATTCTAATAAGCCAGTATGGCTCTTCCACAAAAGTAATACCTCTTGCTTGCAAGTTTTTAAAAAAATTAAATCTAATTATTAAATCTAATTATTAATTATATAATTAAATACAGTATATTAGCATTTTATTTTGATATAATTAAACATAATGTTTAAATAATAATATATATATATATATATATATATATATATATATATATATATACACACACACACTTGCCAAAAGTATTGGGCCACCCCTCCAAATCATTGGATTAAGGTGTTCCAATTACCTCCATGGCCACAGGTGTATAAAATCAAGCACCTAGGCATGCAGACTGCTTCTACAAACATTTGTGAAAGAATGGGTCGCTCTCAGGAGGTCAGTGAACTCAAGCGTGGTACTGTGATAGGTTGCCACCTGTGCAATAAGTCCATCCGTGACATTTCCTGGCTACTTAATATTCCACGCTCAACTGTTAGTGGGATTATAATAAAGTGGAAGCAACTGGGAACAACAGCAACTAAGCCACGAAGTGGTAGGCCATCTAAAATGACAGAGTAGAGTCAGCGCATGCTGAAGCACACAGTGTGCACAAGTTGCCAACTGTCTACAGAGTCAATAGCTAAAGACCTCCAAACTTCATGTGGCCTTCAGATTAGCACAACAACAGTGCGTAGAGACCTTCATGGAATGGGTTTCTATAGCCGAGCAGCTGCATCCAAGCCTTACATCACCAAGTGCAATGCAAAGCGTCATTTGCTGTGGTGTACAGCACGACACCACTGGACTCTAGAGCAGTGGGGATGTGTTCTCTGGAGTGACCAATCACACTTCTCTGTCTGGCAATTCGATGGACGTGTCTGGGTTTGGCGGTTGCCGGGAGAACGGTACTTGCCTGACTGCATTGTGCCAAGTGTAAAGTTTGGTGGAAGGGGGATTATGGTGTGGGGTTGTTTGTCAGGGGTGGTCTTAGCCCCTTAGTTCCAGTGAAGGGAACGCTTAAGGCGTCAGCATACCAAGAGAAATTTTGGACAATTTCATGCTCCCAACTTTGTGGGAACAGTTTGGGGATGGCCCCTTCCTTTCCAACATGACTGCACACCAGTGCACAAAGCAAAGTTCATAAAGACATGGATGAACGAGTTTGGGATGGAGGAATTTGACTGGCCTGTATAGAGTCCTGACCTCAACCCGATAGAACACCTTTGGGATGAAATAGAGTGGAGACTATGAGCCAGGCCTTCTCGTCTGACATCAGTGCCTGATTTCACAAATGTGCTTCTGGAAGAATGGTCAAACCTTCCCATAGACACCCTCCTATACCTTGTGGACAGTATTCCAAAAAGAGTGGAAGCTGTTCTAGCTGCAAAGGGTGGGCCAACTCAATATTGAATCCTACGGACTAAGACTGGGATGCCATTAAAGTTCATGTGTGTGTAAAGGCAGGCCGACCAATACTTTTGGCATTATAGTGTTTTTTTCCATGCCCCTTTTGGGATAAATTTTACTTCTTTCTTTCCTTCCCTTTCACCCCCCTCTATCTGATCACTGCAGAACAAAATCTCTATCTAAATGTCAATTTTTACTCAAAAGAGCCGTAGTCATGTGACACTCAAGGCTCGGGTCTTTTCTTTTTGTGTTTTCTTTTTTGGTTGGGGTCTATCTTTGGGGTGTGTGATGTGGACACTTCTTATTGGATGGCTGGTGGCGGAGTCCTTTCTGGAAAGAGGAGGACTGACATAACTACAGGGGAATGGCAGGGTACCGGTGGTCTTATACATGGGGCGGTCAGCTAGTGGTTAAAGACCACTAGTAAGGAACCTGGACAGAAGACATAGGTAGGTATTGCTAACTTCACAAGGCAAGGGGGTAAAAAAAGATTGTCAGGATGGGTTGAAGGGAGGGTGGATTTGTAAAAATGTAGTATTATCCATGAGTGTGGATTTAAGGACATATAATGCTTAAGAGGAAATGGATGGTTTGTTTGTAAACAAACCTCATGTGACCGCTGTGATTGCTGTCATTGTGATCACATGATTGCAAAACATGCTGATTGCTTCCCTGACGTCAACCGTGCAGTCTCAGAACTAGAAGTGTGTATGTGTGTGTCCTAGGTAACCAGCTAGGACCAATGTAAGTTTGTATGGGCTACACCAGACTGTGGTATCCCCGTGGAAGCTGGAAATCTTTGCAGTAGGCATCGCTACTCCAGTGGTTGCCACTAGCTTCCAGGTCCTATGCTGAGCAGCTACTCACTGAACACAGGGTGCCATTTAGAGGACACCTAGCATTTTCTCAATGAATGCAAAATGTTCTTTTGTTTGGACAAGGTGGAGATCGTGACGTCACCTCCTTGGCTCTTCACCTCATCCAATCAGAGAATGCTTTGCATCCTTTTGAGAAAATGCAAAATGTTCTCTGAATGGTGCTTGAGCAAAGCAGGTGACCTCCTGTGTTCACAATGCAGCGTGGCAGCCGCTCAATATGGGAACCAGAAGCTAGTGGAGATCCCTGGAGTAGAGGTATCTACAGAACCAATGTGACCATGTAACAATTGCCATACCTGGAATTCCTCTTTAATGTTGCTTGAGCACAGGGAACCATGCTTGAGAATGTTAATCTACGATTATAGAAGTGAAGGGAAACTTCCAGTGTTTAACATCCCTTACTATATTTCAGAGTTCCACTATTTCATCTGCCATCTTCTTTATCTTTCCATTGCATTTTGTGATAGGTCAATTCTATTTTGTTCTTTATGTAGGATGAGGGAAGACCTGTACTTCACCAGGATGAGGGATGCAAGTTTTTTTTACCTGTGTGGTCGGGGGCGGGGACCTTCTGATATTCTGCCCCATACATAGATGTGCGGACCTGTCCGGGTACCTTACTGAAGAAGATTTTCAGGGCATCACGGACTTCAATGACCTTCCCAACTCGCTCTTTGCCTGCAACGTCCACCAGTCTGTTTTTGAAGATGAAGCCAGCAAGGTAAGGTACTGCCTAATGTGTGGGAATGCCATTATTGGGGCCAGTTTGATTGAAGCTGAACTCCGGGAAAACAGCTGAATACACAGATAAAATGCATATAAGATGGTTGTTTAATCTGCCAAAGGAATTGTATCTTTGACCATCCAGTTCTGAGATTTATACATCTAACAGATTACTCCATCCTCTAGATAGCGTGGATGGATGGTTGTATCTCCCACTGCGGATATAGTATTTGGACACCCGGCCTTACCAGCTGTCAAATACCTGAACAGCTGTTGCATCTGTTTGGAAGTTGGCAGTGTTTGGCCAACAAATATCCACCCAGCTCCTATGATTTTTTTCAATCAAGGGATATCGGAAAGGAGGCAGCTGACAGTCCACCCAATCAGCAAATTTTTTCCTATTTTATCAGGAACCGACTGAAATTTGATCTGTGTATGGCCATCCAAAGGTGAGTATAAGGGTTTTAACCACTACCAAACCGTCCCATGTATGCAGTTGTGTTCAAAATAATAGCAGTCAGACATCACTAACCTGATCAATCACTGTTTTTGGTAGAAATGATATTTCTACATGGCAAATAAATTACTAGCAGGTGTAGTAGAGTAATAGAAATCCAACAGACCCAACAGTCATGACATGCATGCTGCTGATTCTGTGTAATTGAATCACCAATTGAAAGGGGCATGTTCAAAATAATAGCAGTGTGGAGTTCTATTAGCGAGGTCATTCATTATTTGAAAAACAGGTGGCAATTATTGCCCTTATTTAAGGAAGGAAGGCAGCAAATGTTGTACATGCTGGTTACAGTGCATTTCTGTCCGAAATTCTGAGGAAAATGGGTCGTTCCAGACATTGTTCAGAAGAACAGCGTACCTTGATTAAAAAGTTGATTGGAGAGGGGAAAACATATAAAGAAGTGCAGAAAATGATAGGCTGCTCAGCTAAAATGATCGCAAATGCTTTAAAACGGCAACCAAAACCTGAAAGACGTGGAAGAAAGCGAAAAACTACATTCGAATGGATAGAAGAATAGCCAAAATGGCAAGGACTCAGCCAACAATCAGCTCCAGGAAGATCAAAGAAGGTGTAAAGTTACCTGTGAGTACTGTTACAATTAGAAGATGCCTATGTGAAGCCAAGCTATCTGCAAGAAGCCCCCGCAAAGTCCCACTGTTGAAAAAAAGACATGTGCTGAAGAGGTTACAATTTGCCAAAGAGCACATTGACTGGCCTAAAGAGAAATGGTGCAACATTTTGTGGACTGATGAAAGTAAGATTGTTCTTTTTGGGTCTAGTGGCCGGAGACAGTTTGTCAGACGACCCCCAAACACTGAATTCAAGCCACAGTACACCGTGAAGACGTGAAGCATGGTGTTGCGCAAGCATCATGATATGGGGATGTTTCTCACACTACGGTGTTGGGACCTATTTATCGCATACCAGGGATCATGGATCAGTTTGAATACATCAGAATACTTGAAGAGGTCATGCTGCCTTATGCTGAAGAGGAAATGCCCTTGAAATGGGTGTTCCAACAAGACAACGACCCCAAACACACCAGTAAATGTGCAACATCTTGGTTCCAGACCAACAAGATTGACGTTATGGAGTGGCCAGCCCAATCCCCGGATCTTAATCCAATAGAAAACTTGTGGGGTGACATCAAAAATGCAGTTTCTGAGGCAAAACCAAGAAATAGAGAAGAACTGTGGAATGTAGTCCAATCATCCTGGGCTGGAATACCTGATCACAGGTGCCAGAAGTTGGTTGACTCCATGCAACACAGATGTACAGCAGTTCTCAGAAACAGTGCTTATACAACAAAATTTTCATTAAGTGATTCAAAGGAAAGCAAAATCTTCAAACATTTTTCAGTTTATATAGTGAATGTTTGAGTTTATAAAGAAGAATACAAACACTGCTATTTTTTTGAACCAGTCTAATATTCATTTTTCTTCAATTTTTTTAGAGGAACAACACAAATTTGATCTATTTTTCTTCATGTTTTGATTTGGAATAGAATGTGTAGTGTTCCCAATGCATTTGTGTGTATGGAAATAAAAGCTATTAGAAGGATTTTGAGCTTTATTTACTTTTTTCAGCACACTGCTATTATTTTGAACACAACTGTATATACTGCGGTGACCGCACTGCACTGGATCATGTACATGTATGTGATCCAACTTTTACAGGTAGGGGGTGCGCACATGCCCCCACTACATCTGTGCTATCATTTGGTACAGCACAAATCAATCAGCAGGTCCCGGACAATGATTTATGACCAGGACCTGCTGATCTGCTTAGCGAATTACATTACAGAGGCCTGTGTTTACTAAGAACACAGGGCTCTGTACACTGAGCAGGGGGATAAAACAGTCACATCTCTTAGTAAAAGCAGCATATATTACATTCATTACACTTGCTAGGTTCACAGTTAACCATTTGATTGCCCCTAGGTGTTAACCCTTTCCCAGCCAGGGTCATTATTACAGTGACAGTGTATGGTAATATCACTGATCACTATATTAGTGTCACTGGAGATGTCCGTGTCAGTTAGGCAGTTCCCACCCAGTGTCAGTTAGTGTCAGATTGCCATCCGCACTTTTACAGTCCCTCAAAAAGTCTCTGATCACTGCCGTTAGTAGTATAAAAAAAAAAAAGTATACATCGCATAAAAAAAGTATTGAACCCGTCACCATTTTTCTAGGTAAATATATTTATAAAGGTGCTATTGACATTTCACCACATGTCGGTAACAACCCATGCAATCCATACATACAAAGAAACCAAAACAAATGAATTCAGAAATTAAGTTATGTGTAATTAAATGGAATGATACAGGGAAAAAGTATTGAACACATGAAGAAAGGGAAGTGTAAATAGGTATGGAAAGCCAAGACACCAGCTGAAATCTATCAGTAATTAGAAAGCAATCCTGCCCCTTGTCAGTGTAAATTAATATCAGCTGGTTCAATCTCAACTGATGGTCTATAGAAAGGTTTCTCATTACCAAGTTGTCACACAAAAAAAAAATCTCATGATGGGTAAAAGCAAAGAGCTCTCTCAAGACCTTCACAGCTTTATTGTTGCAAAACATACTGAATGTTCCAGTGAGCACTGTTGGGGGCATAATCCAGAAGTGGAAAGAACATCATTTCACCATAAATCGGCCATGACCAGGTGCTCCTTGCAAGATTTCTGAGACAGGAGTGAAATGAATTCTCAGAAGAGTTGTCCAAGTACCAAAGACCACTTGTGCTTACCTGGAATGTACAATTGTTTCAAAGAAAACAGTAAGTAATGCACTCAACTGCCATGGCCTGTATGCATGCTTACCATGCAAGACTTCATTGCTAAAGAAAAAGCATGTTGAAGCTCGTTTAAAGTTTGCTGAACAACATTTAGACAAGCCTGTGAAATACTGGGAGAATATAGTCTGGTCAGATGACACCAAAATGGAACTCTTTCGATGCCATAATACACACCATGTTTGGAGGTCAAAGGAAACTGCACATCACCCCAAAAACACCATACCAACTGTGAAGCATGGAGGTGGGAACATTATTGTAGGCTGTTTTTCACATACAGTACTAGCAAACAATCAATGTTATTGAAGGAAGGATGAATGGAAAAATGTACAATTTCTTGATAAAAATTTGCTTCCATCTACCAGGATGTTAAAGATTAAACGAGGGTGGACATTTCAGCAAGACAATGAATCTCAAACACAAAGCCAAGGAAACTCTCAACTGGTTTCAAAGAAAGAAAAATAAAGCTGCTAGAATGGCCCAGCCAATCACCTGACTTGAATCCAATAGAAAATTATGGAAAGAATTAGAGATCAGATTTTTTTTAAGATTTGAAGACTGTGTGGAGGAATGGGCCAAAATTGAGCAATACATGTGACTAGTTTCTTTACTAGCGTAAAAACTTGCAGCTGTCATTACCAACAAAGGATTTTGTAAACTATTAAATAATTTCAGTTAGCATTTTCAATACTTTTTTCCCTGTTCCAAAACATAATTTCTGAACGTATTTGTTTAGGATCTATTTTGGGTTGTTTCCGATATAATAAAAAATTTCAAATAGCACCTTTAGAAATATATTTACTGAGAAAAATGGTGACGTGTTCAATAAATTTACCCGCTGTATATACCAGTTTGTAAATAATTAAGCAATCAATATACGCTTTTGGGATTTTTTTTTTTTTACTAACGACAAGTATCAAATATATTTTTGGCATGATTTATAAAGAAATTCGATTTTTTTTTTACATTTTTATTGGGTTTTATAGCAGAAAGCATAGTGTTTTTTTTCCAAAAATGGATCTTTTTTGGTTTATATAATAAAAAACAAAAAGCCCCAGTGATGATAAAATACCACCAAAAGAAAGCCATTTGTGCGAAAAAAATTAGAAATTTTATACAGCATTGTATGGCGGCGCAATTGCCAGTTAAATATGCAGTGTGAAAACAAACAATGCCCTTCTCATGAAGGGGGTAAAACCTTCCAAAGCATAAAGCGGAGCTCCACCCAAAAGGGGAAGTTCTGCTTTAAGGACTGCTCCCCATTAAGGATTGGCACCTTTGGGGGGTGGGGGTTGACAGATACCCACTCCCACTTCCGGTCCGAACGCCTAGTAGTCTCCCTGTAGTCTTTTGGGACACGTGACAGGTCCCAGAAGACTACAGGACCATTCATGAAGCGCACATGTGCAGTGGGTTCCCGGCTGTGAAGCCGCAAGCTATCACAGCAGGGTGCCCACACTGAAGATGCTGCCTCCTGGAATACAGGATGGCCGGTGAAACGAGCTGCGGGGGACACACTGTGGGACCGTGGGACAGGTGAGTGTCTGATTTTTAAAAGTCAGCAGCTACAGTTTTTGTAGCTGCTCACTTTTATTTTTCGACAGGGTGAGTGGAACTCTGTTTTAAGTGAATAAAGAGAACCTGTCACTGACCTAAAACTTGCAGGTAAAAGCACAAAAACATTGAGTATGCTTACCTTCTGCTTAACCTTACCTAATGTATAATCGTTTGTAAGATTTTTGATTTTAATTCACTTGTAATGTGCCCCCTCCCTTGCTCTCTTATTCACTGGCAGTGTTTAATTATTCTCTATGCTGACCCAGAACCTCGGTCCCTCCCTTCACCCCCGTACATAACTTTTTATGTAGCTGTTGGAGTGGAGGCAAGGGGAATACTATAAAATGTCACTGAAAGTGATATCAAAGTGTTACTAAACCCAAGACCCCGCATTCACTATATCTGGTCTCCTCGGACCCTGCATTCACTATATCTGGTCTCCCACAGTACACAGAACATGGAAATGCAATTATTTTAGTAATATAAACTGCTTAATACCTTTTCTCATCAGCAGTTAGGGCAGTCTTGTGACTTCTATCAGTGTCCAGCAGAGTACTGGTTAAAGCTTGTAGGAGGAGTTTTCATTCTCCCATGATTATCCTATGAGGCAGCATGACCCCTGACCTCTGTCTAGACAGTACTGATTGGCCCTGTGCTGATCACATGCACTCTCCCAGGAAAGAAAAAAACTCTCTAGCAATACTTTCCAAACTGAGCATGTTCAGCTTGCCCCCAAGGCTCTGTTCTATCAGCAGATGGACTGGGGACTGTGGAAGAAGGGAAGAATCAGAGAAGACAGAATCAAACATTCTTTTTACACAATGCAGAGGATTAACCCCTTGGGTTCCACAGTGAGTATAACAAGCATGCTGATTGGCCCTGTGCTGCTCACATGCACTTTCCTCCCCCAAAAAAACTCTCTAGCAATACACACCAAGCTGAAAATGTGCAGAGTGACTCTGCATGATATATCTTATCAGGAGATAAGAGGGGGACATTGGAAGAAGGGGAAGATCAGAGAAGTCAGGATCAAATAGCCTTTTTACACAATGGAGAGGATTAACCCCTTAGGTTCCACAGTGAGTATAACAAGCATGCTTTACTGCATATACAGACTGATTTACTGTTGTGGGTTTAGTAACACTTTAATCCCAAAAAGCAAACATTTATTATATTGCAGCTTTCCAAGTCTTAGATGTCATGGTTGCATTAGTGTTCTATTTTAGGCTTTCTTTCTTCTATTTTTATCTGGTGATCTGGCCAGTAAGTCTGTAGCTTTAAAAAAAAACAAACTCTCTTGCAGTTACATGGATGAGACAATCCATATAAAACTAGCAGGTGTGCTTACAAAGATCTGCTTTTAGGTTTTACATAATTTTCTCCCAAATGGAAAAAAACTTTTGGCCGTGTCTGCGTATAAGGTATTACTTGGAGTTTGGCTTCAATTTGTTAGTGTATTAAAATCTGCTGGTCCATCTAAAACTCCAATCCCCCCGACTGACAATGCTGCTATTTAATGTACCTCCTGTGCACCTTCATCCAGAGTGGATGCACTCAAATACAGGAGGTGTGTTACTGACCAGGTCACCAGGTGAAAACAGAGGACAAAAAAAAACTAAAAAGAAAACTAATACAGCCACCACATCTAATGATTGGTAAGCTGCAATATATTGCATTGTTGGTTCTGGGTTTAATACCGCTTTAAGAGACTATACTATACTAAACTATACACCATACCTGGCTGATACCCTTGGAAGCTGGAAATCACTGAAGTAGACACCACTACTCCAGTGATCTCCACTTGCTTCCGGGTCCCGAGGCAAGCGGCTGCCCTGCTGCTTAGTGAACACAGTTGTTCAGATGCTCAGAATGAGTGCCATTGATAGAATGTTTTGTATTCCCTGAATAATAGGAAGCCATTTTCTAATTGGACAAGGTGGGAGATGGCATCACATATTGTCACACAGTGTCCGGCAGAGCACTGGTTATAGATTTTAGGAGGAATTTTCATTTTGCTCTAGGAGAATGCAGAACCCCTGACCTCTGTCTGGACAGGGCTGATTGGCCCTGTGCTGATCACATGCATTCCCCCCACCATACACACCAAACTAAGCATGCGCAGAGTGACTCCACACGATATGTCTTCTCAGGAGATAAGAGGGGGACATTGGAAGAAGGGGAGGATCAGAGAAGTCAGGATCAAACAGTTTTTTTTACACAATGTGGAGGATTACCCTTAGGTTCTACAGTGAGTATAACAAGCATGCTTTATTGCATATACAGACTGATTTTACTGTTGTGGGTTTAGTAACACTTTAAAACCCAACAGGAATGGAGACCTCGAGCTTGTCTACACTTTTTGTTCTTCTTTTTTTTTCCAACATGTTATTAGCTAAAATGACAACTGTCCTAGAAGTGTATGGAAACCAGCCTACTATAATGTCCTATAAGTGTTACCATGTTACCTTTTCTTTTGAAAGTTGTTTTTAATCTGCCTCTTCCATTGTATGAAGGTTCCTGGTCAGGCACTTCCTGTGACAGAGTGACAACGCTCTGTCCATGTTTCCCAATCATTCTCCTGCATTGTCACACAGGCTTCCGATGGAGACAGAACATCACCATCCCTGCCTATCCACCACCTCCAATCAGAGAACACTTTGCATTCACTGAGAAAATGCAAGGTGCTCACTGGATGGTGCCTGTGCTGAATAGCTATGTTCACAAGGCATCAGGACCCATTAGCTAGCGTAGATCTCCGGAGTAGTGGTGTCTATTTCAGGGATTTCCAGCTTCCAGGGGCATTGGCCAGGTATGTATGTACAATGGAACAAAGTAACTATGGAAAAATATACCATGCCTGTATAGAACCCTCCTAGTTTAGCTAGGGGGAGGTAGACCCTAATGGTTAGTTAGGAGCTGGTTAACAGCTCAGGTATAATAGCCTGTGGGGTCAAATTCTGGTCAGGACTGAGAGATTCTGCAGGCCAGCCCCTCTGGAATTTCCCTCTGCTCTGAGGCTTTCAGAGAAGGGCCTTGGAGGCAGTAGGTGGATCTGAGAAGTGGCTGGCTAAACTCTTCAGGGACCTCAGCCAATCCCCAACAGGAGGTTTTGCAAGGGGCTGGACTCCCTTAAACGTGCAGGAGCCTGCTCAGTAGCAGCAGTATAGTGGTGGGAGAGGAGTAAGAAACCGGAAGATGTGAGGCTGAAGGAGGAAGGCTGCCAGGAAGCCTAGTGGGATGGGGCCTGCCTGGGAGCCTGGAGCTCGAAAGGAGGAAAACTCAGGACTTACTGACCCCCTGAGGGAACCACCTGTATGGCAGGGAAGGAGCAGCCCAGCTGAGGCCTGGTAGTAGCAGCCATTCTGCAAGTGATACAGGAGAGGATCTCAGTGAGTAAACCTGCATCCCCTGGGCAGATAGGGGAAGGAGCACACTGGTGGGAAACCAGGTTAGCCCCCTGCTAGTAACTGTGCACCTTACAAGGGGAAACAGGAGCCAGATCCCCTGCTCAGGAAGGAAGTCTCTAGATTGCTGGGTGAAGAGCAGTTCATCTAGGGCAGGGGTGTCAAACTGGCAGCCCTCCAGCTGTTGTGAAACTACAAGTCCCATGATGCCTCTGCCTCTCTGAGAGTCATGCTTGTAACTGTCAGACTTGCAGTGTCCCATGGGACTTGTAGTTTGTCAACAGCTGGAGGGCCGCCAATTTGACATCTGTGTTCTAGGGTCTGGGGTGGTAGAACTAGGAGTGCTGGCTGAATAGTTCCTGAATAGTTCAGGAAGTTGTCCTCAGATATCCGTTCCCTTGGGCATCCTATACACCCCTTACCCTATCCAAGTTCTAATTCGCTCAATAAAATACCAATCCAACACTCAAGGACTGGTTTCTGTCTCCAGATGAAAGCTTGTGTGAAAAATGCTAAATAACTGGCTGTACAGGACCCAAATTCATTAGCCAGCCTAAGGGGGTAGTGCTACACCTGGAATTATTGTTTAAGATTTAACCACGTTTTTTTTGCTGCTCAGCATTGCACTACTTTTAACTGGCAATTTCATGGTCATGCAACGCTGTACCCAAATTAAATTTATATAATATGATTTTTTCCCACAAATAGGACTTTCTTTTTGGTGGTATTTGATCACCACTGGTTTTTTATTTTTATTATATAAATGAAAAAATACAGACATTTTGAAAAAAAAAACAACAATATTTTCTGTTCTAAAACATATCCAATACAAAAAAAAATCTAATTACTTCATAACTTTTGCCAAGATATATTCTGCTACATATCTTTGGTAAAAAAACCCCAATAAGTGTATATTGATTGGTTTATAGCGTCTACAAGCTGGCAATTGCACAGACATGCAATTTTGTACCCACATGAATTTTTTTTTCCCCCACAAATAGAGCTTTCTTTTGACAGTATTTGATCACCACTGTATTTTATATTTTTTATAAAAATATTAAAAAATATTTTTTATTAAAAATATTAAAAAACCCTAATATTTTTTTATTTTCTGTTATTAAACATATCCAATAAAATAAACACATTTCTTTATAAATTTAGGCCAAAATGTATTCTGCTACATGTCTTTGGTCCAAAAATCCCAATAAGTGTATATTGATTGATTGTGAAAGTTATAGCGTCTACAAACTATGGGATAGATACTGCAATTTTTTTTTTTTTTATACTAGTAATGGTGGCGATCAGCAACTTATTAGTGCATTGTGGGGTGTGATGGTGCAGCAGACAATCTGACGCTAATGCAGGCCATAGACGGTTCGTTTTTTTTTGTCCGAAAGAATAATCGGCTGATTTTCGCACTGTTAGTGGGCGAATTTTTCGCGGTTTCTCCTCATTTCGTTTATCGGTCATGCTGGAAAATTCGTGAAACATGGCCGGTTTTCGAAATCATTGGTGGCAACATCGGATTACAGAGCGATGAAAAATCGTCTGATAAACGAACCGTCTATGGCCTGCATTACTGACAGTGGGGTTTATTTACTAAAGCTGGCTTACTCAGAATCTTGTGCACTTCTGCATTTGAGGTGTCATTAAGACACCTGCTGCAGACTGCCACTGCAATACGTTGTGAACGTGGTGTGGGAAACTCCTACAGAACATGGGTTTCCCGCACAGCATTCTGGTGTGAATGGGCCCTAAAGCCTGAGTTTTAATAAAACATTTTCTTAGCATTGAACCACATATGGCGGCTGTGTGGCCACATAGCATGACTGCTGTGCAGCCTTAGCCTTAGATTCCATATTCATTTGCTCTATTAAACTAGAAGCTAAGCCTTTAGGACAGGGGTGTCCAAACTTTTTTCAAAGAGGGCCAGATTGGATGAAGTGAACATGGTGGAGGGCCGAACATTTTTCCGAACATTCTTTGAACCATTACAATTAAATGCAAATAAATTATTTTATGCCAAGTTTAATTGCAAACGACATATTTTTCATTTCATAACATTAAGATCAACTGACAGCTGAGTTTTCACAATGTATTGAAAATAAATTAAAAAAAACTTACCTGCACTAATGTGAAGGGTGAAAAAGGTAGCTGGAGCTGAAGTCTCTGCTCGGCAGCCGGGAGGGAAAGAGAAACACACTTCACGCTGGAAGCCCGGCCCTGACGTCACCGCCCTCTGTCGCGCCCAGCGCGGCGCAGTCACACATGCGCACTGCTCTCAAGCAGAAGACTGTCTGCCACAGAAGGGAGGGCCGTGCGACAGCCGCATTTACACAGACCAGGGAGAACGCACCGCAGTCAGGCATGCGCACTGCCCTCTGCTCTCAAGCAGAAGACTGTCTGCCATAGAAGGGAGGGCCATGGGAGGGCCACATTACACAGAGCAGGGAGGGCTGTTGGAGGGCCGTATTAAACCGACCCCCGGGCCGTAAATGGCCCGCGGGCCGGACTTTGGACATGCCTGCTTTAGGATGATTGATTTAAAAGGCTGAGCATCCCAGCAAGTAAGAACTTTTTATTCAATATTATGGTGGTGGCTTTCCATTCCTGTTCTACTCTTCCATCCATTCTTCCTCGGTTCCCTGCCTACAGCAGATGCATTCCATTTGCTGTATACAGATTGCTGTCATGCATAGCTTACTTTGATTTCACTGCACACTGTGAGCGCCTTGCAGCTTTCGCTGGCTGATGCTGGATGCATCTAACCCTTTCCTTCCCTATCATCTACCCTTTCCTTCCCTGGCCCGCCCCTTTCATTTAGTAGATTTCAGTTCTTCAATCATGGAGGCTTAGAATCACTTGTGAACATTATCTATTGTGGTCTGCATGCAAATGCAGCCTGCCCAGGATCTCCTACTCCTCCAGACTGACTGATTATACCCAACGTCATCATCAGTGAGTCTCTTTGCCTCTCTATGCAATGCAGACAAATCATGGCTGGTGGGAGTGGTCACAGGGTACTGTACATGGCTTCCTGAAAACATAACTGCACCCAGTGCTAGTCCATGATCTGTCTGCATTGCATAGAAAAGCACAGAGACTCTGATATAAAGCACGCACACATCACTCCCATACTTAAAAAGTGCTCCCTGGACCCCACCGACCCGAACAATCTTAGACCCATTTCCCTGCTGCTATTTACATCCAAACTCCCTGAGCTCTTAGTCTATACTCGCCTAAGTTCCCACCTCAATGACAACAACCTCCTTGTCCCCCTACAGTCCGGCTTCCGTCCCCTACACTTCACCGAAACCGCCCTACTCAAACTCACAAACGACCTGCTAACTGCCAAAGCTAATGGCCACTACTCAGTGCTCCTACTCCTCGACCTCTCCGCGGCGTTCGACACAGTCGACTACCCCCTCCTCCTCAAGAAACTACACTCCCTCGGCCTCAGAGACTCCGCTCTCTCCTGGCTCTCATCCTACCTATCACAACGCTTCTTCAATGTTACCTATAACACTACCACCTCCCCCTCACTCCCCCTCTCTGTTGGAGTCCCTCAAGGCTCTGTCCTCGGGCCCCTTCTCTTCTCCATCTACACCTCCTCCCTTGGCCAACTGATACGGCTTCACGGCTTCAACTACCACCTCTATGCCGACGACACGCAAATCTATCTCTCGACCCCCCACCTCACCCCCTCAGTCTTCGCCCGAATCACCAGCCTTCTGAATGACATATCAGATTGGATGTTGCTCCACTTCCTTAACCCCTTCACACCTAAGGGTAAAACAAATCTAAATGCCTAAGCACAATTCTGCAACGTTGACGTGTTAGTAAAACCGTACATATCGTCACAACTACTTTGTACATCCAGGTGGATCATACCTTGTTTTTTTTT